TCGAATGTGCTTCAAGTTTACTGTTCCGTACAGCTGTAGGGGATTACAATCTATTCTTCATCTTGCATGTAAACTACAATAACAAAATCAACTCTTTCATACCGTAAAACAGTTCTTATTTAAAGACAATTTTAATAATATCTTCCTACTAAATGGTTGTGTAATGTCGGAATTTTTAATAATAATTATGTTGCAATTTTATAACAAATGGCGACAATTTTTTTTTTTACAAATTATGAGAAAGTTATTTCAAATTGCGAAAGGCACTCTTTGTTTTTTTAATTGTGTTTGTACACTCACCTTATGACAGTAACACCGAAATAATCCACCACTAGAAGAAACAGATCATATTCGTTGAGACTGTTAAGGGCTTTCTCCATGATGACCACACCGACCATGATGAAGATTAGAGTGTTGGCTAAGTACGCCAGCATTTCCCAAAACCTGAGCACAAATGGAAAAAGTCTGGACATCAGTTCTTGCATGCTCTAATTGGCTGAAACATCAAAAACTTAAAAACAGAGCCGGGGGACCTCTACATAAGACTACGAGTACGAGATTAAGAGCGAGTAGAAGGAGGTTTCAGAGCAGATTTGCTTGCTCCTGAAGTATAGCTTTCATTCTGCTGGTCAGTAAAGGTTGGTTTCCACCCAAGACCGTTACGATAATGACCTGTAAGAGGGGATTATGATCGTTAAGATCAAAGAGTGAAAAAAAGCTAAACCACCATATCGATATGGTAGCCTACGTGTAACCGCACCCTCGGGATCGGTATTGTAACAGGTTGATCGTTGTGATGCTGGTTCCCTTATGATCTCTGCAATAGAAGATGAATTAACCAGGGCCCAGTTGTTCCAAGGCCGATTAGCGCTAACCCAGCGTTAAATTTTGACCCGTCCTTTTTTTCTTTTGTTCAGAAGCATTTTCCCAGATAATTTTTTCTATTCTATTTAAAGCATCCAGTCATCAAATTGTAGACAAAAAAATAAAACTGAATTTGCATTTTAAGCTTTTATATCTGAATTCATATTTCGCACATATGCTTTGCTTTGAACAACCCAGCCCAGCCTAAAAAGTGTTACAGAGAGCCATTGCTTCAGAGAAAGGCTAAGAAACTGCTTTCTGTCAATTATTGTATGAGTTGTCAAATCTAAAAGTCTTAAATATCTACATGGTAATCATATTAAGTTGTGCCGGTAGCCCAGAATAAACTGAGGGCAGACTGATTTGCCGTTTTCAGCTCTTCTGTCACTCTTCTCAGCGAAGCGGACACTGATTTTAAAAGGAATCTGTTATACGTTGTTATGACAATATTTTGAATTGTCACAGTCATCAAGATACAAAGAAGGCTAGCGAAGCAAAGGGAGACAAATTGTAAGTCTCACCTTGTCTGTTGCTTCAACTAATATTGAAATTGTAAAAAGTAACTTATCCTGTAATTAATTTGATTTCAATAAAATACGTTTGACAAAACTAACGGAAAGTACGATCCGATTCTTTCTCTCTCTAGTCATGTGCAAATAAATCCAAGTTTGTGAATACCTGGGGTTAATCTTCAACTGAAGTAGCCCCTCATTCATAGGAGTGAATCACAGTCTCAGCCTGTTATTCATGCACGCAAGCGGCAATCCGCGATAAGGAGGGCGTAAGAAGAAGAACCAAATCTAGTCTCAATCCCTTTTTAATCACGTCATTGTTTGCAACCGCACCGACTGGGATGATCATGAGAAATCAACGGATTTTAAGAGAGAAGGCAGTCTTGCCCCCAGAACACTTACCTATGCAAGAAAACTTCAACTTCTGGACTGATGCTAGTTTTCAGTGCGTTTATCTGGATCCCCAACATAACCACGGCGATCACACCAGATATACCTAACACCTCTTCTCCTATGTAGAATGTCAAGTAGGTACTAGCTAAGGTGATAGTGATTTCTACCATGGCATCGTTAAACACGTGTTGGAGCCAAAATACAGTAACTCTTCCGGCCACTAGACCAAAGAAGAATCCACCAAGGGCGACGCGCGGGAAATACAATCCAATTTCGGTAGCTGAGTACGAAACGAGAAAAAGAAATTGTCTTCATGAACAGTTTAAAAGAAAAGAAAAACATCGTCACTGGCACAGCGGATGCTCTGGATCATGTGATTATCTCAGTAATGCTGTTAAAGGTTTGAACCCAGAAGTCATTTCAAAAGTAGGTTGAGTTTGATCGTCCGAGTGAACGATATCTTAGTAATGAAAGGTGTTTTAATTAAAGGTTGAAATAATACTGATTTTGAGTTTAAACTATCATTTAGTAGCCTAAATAAACAATATTCGTTTTTCCTTTACAAGACAGCAAAATGTGTTATTTTGCCTTTTATACTATCAAGGAAAAGTTGTTTGTGTTTAAGTGCGTCTTTACGTTGGAGTGTTTCAAAAACAGTAGTTGAAGCAATGGTGTTACAATGTCAAGACTCTTTCAATGCTATGTCTTCTATCTCCAGTCAGAATTATCATTTGGAAGAAAGAGAAACTGCAACAATATAAAAGAACATCGACAAAATTGGGGAAATATCCAATGAATTATCATCTTACCAGTCATTGAGGAAAATGCCAGGTTGAAAAATATCTTGTACAGTACAATGGCCATACCATCGTTCAACAATGATTCACCCTCAATGATAGTAGACAACTGCTTACTTGTTCCTAAAGGCACCAAGAAAACAAGTGAATAAGAGCTAGGAATCTATAACTTGAAATCGTAGCCTCTGTTTACATAATATATTACCACTGCCTTGAAACCGAACTGTTTCGGAGATTCTAAGCGCCTCCACAAAAGTCAAAAAGCTGGATTCCATCTGCTTTAAATTAATTATAGTGTTAAGAACTCTAAATAATAGTAGTGATAAGAATACAAAAGAGTGAGAGACAAACTGGAGGACTGTTATCACATATCAAATGGACAGCAATGGCGTGAATTACGTACGCGCAGTACAAGAAAACTCATTTTTAATTGGTTAAAAGCGATTAAAATAAGTGATTCACTGATGCGTTCCCAGAGTCTTGTGCCACATTTCTGATAAATCACAATCGTGAGACCAAATATCGGTGCAACTGTATAACGACCCCCCTCCTAGACCCCGCCCTCTTCCCCTCCTTCAAAAGCAGTGACCGTAGAGGGGGCCACTAGAGAGTAACGAGGTCGTTACTTTGGAAACTGTATGGTGTATACTACTTTATTTTACCTATAATGCCACACACTACACAAATACATTAATGAGGGGATGATTCAACCTACTGTTACCATGGTTACCTACCCAAGTCATTAAGCAGGGCGACCACTGCGACAGGATCTGTAGCACTAACTATTGAACCAAATAGTAAGGCCTCAAACCAGGTCCAGCCATAATCCACAAAGACCATTTTGGCCATGACACCAGAGAGAGCTGTAGCTACAGCCAGACCAAACACAGCCAATATTACAACTTGCCAGAACATCTTGTAAAAAATATGTACATCCATGGCAAAGGCGGATTCAAACAGCAGAACAGGCAAGAAGGTTGTTAGGATCAGATGAGGGTCTTGGCTGGACACAGCTGTGTACCTTGAACAAACCAATAAATATATATTTTCCTCTTAAAACTTAGTGTCTGTTAGAGAGATGATGATAAAAAACATTACATCGTTTATTTTGAGGGCTCGAAAAGAGACCCGTGCGGTAGTCTTGTTAAAGTAGATTTTCTTGCTGGGTGGTAACACATAAGGCTCACTGGCCAAATTAGCAAGGGTCTAAGCAAGTCATCTTCTAACTAAATCATTAACTAAGACGGGTAAGAAGTCAGCTTCCGGCCGAGCAAAATGTTGGAGAGCTGCTTGCCCAAAGAACAAGCTGGAATTTAGGTTTTTTTCGAGTCCTGATTTTGCTTATTTCTTATTTTAGTCAGTCAAACAATCATTTTTTCAATAAAGCAATCAAAAGACCGTCTTGATTTACTCCAAACTTTAATGAAAGTCTATGTCGGAAAAGTGAGATATCCTTCTAAAAACTGATGTGCGCAAAACTGCCTAAAGTCTGTGCCCCCGGCCTTGTACTAAAGGCCTTGTACCACGGTAATAACAGAGTAACCTTGTCCATATTCAGTGTGATATTAGTGGCTCAAACTTACACGTTTTAAATAGGGAGTAAACTCACCATAAGTTGCTAAAGTCAGTGAAATGCACATGCTCAGAAAACCTAAGTTTATGTTTACGATTTTTAACTTGTAACTAGCTTATATATGTTTACTTTTCTTACTTCTGTAACTCTGGGACTGCGCCTGATATTGCCCCAAAACCAAGTCCGAGAACTATCAAAACGACTGTATAAGGAATAGGCCAACCCTTCATAATCTGCCGAACAACAGCTGAAACAAAAAAGGTGTTTACTAACTTCTCCAGAAATATTTATATTTGATGCACTGAATGTTAAGTTGTACGGCTTTAATCTTACCTCCAATAGTACATGATGTAAAAATGAACAAGATTGCGTAAGGGCTGTCATGAGCCTCGTGTGGTTCATGTGAATCAGAGGCGTTAAAAACCATTTCCCTTTCAACATTAGCGGCAAACGACTAGCCATCCACTAACTTCCATATCATATAGAGTCGTTGCAAACAAAGCACAACGCATTTTTCAGTAAACTCACTTTTCCTCCTTTCAATGTAACAGAATTTCTTTAAAGAGTTTAAGCAAAGTAAGAAATAAATGAATTAGTTCTTGGTTTGTAGAAACTTTGGAGTATTTAGTACATCAAAACTATGAAGAAGCTGACGAAACCTGGAAGTGGCATCAAGTCGTTTTCGCGGGCTTTTCGTTATAAGTCCGCTGGTCAACGTCACTCTAGTCCCACTCCTAGCAGAGGCCTATCATTCTATCGGGTAAAAAATGTGCTATTATGATTTTCAGTGGCGGAACCAGGGGAGGGGCCCGGGGGCCCGCCCCCCTATTTTTAGAACAAACTGAGGCCCGAAGAGCCGAAAAAAACTCTGGGGGGGACCAGGCCCCCCTTCTTTATCTAAGGGTCTGGATGACCGGCCCCCCCGCTTATCTCAAGGTCTAGGTCTGGCATTGATTTTCATATGCTTTGTTTTGTGTATTGTTTGTTGTTGTTGATGGCTTGCTTGTTCATTATCTGAGAGAGCCTCTTAAGACTAAACTTGAGAGCTTAGTGGCTATAATCATTGGCTAGCCTCCTAGTCCTACGTAGTCATCTTGATTTGAAAAAGGAAGTAATCAGGAAGAGGATTCCCCTCGCGTTCACTGTTTTGGTTGCCTGATGAATGGTCTGAGAAATAGGTAAAGACAGGAGCGGCTCCTGGTAATGGTTGAATGAAACTTCTCCCGCAGTTAAAATCTTTACTGCAGAAAACTCCATATCCGTGCTCCGTCTGGGGCGCTTAATCTCGCAGAATTGAAATCTTCTTTTTTTCTATCTGCAAAACTTGTTACATGTGTAAAGCAAGGCTTATTTGAATAGTGAAGAAATTTAATATATGTAATTGCCAATCTTTCGAAAGGCACTAGGTTGAGAAAACAGCCGATATTTAGTGGCGGCGTCGCGAAACGTCGACTGCTTTCTCAGGTTAAAAATGCATTGAGAGGCACTGCGTATGAAGATTATGAACACATTGTGATTATAAAAACTTCGTTCATTGTTAAAACAGACTTGCTTTTTACTTGTATCTATAAATTTTATAGCTGATTAGATCCTCCATTTAGTTATTTTGTCACGCCGATAATTACTTAAACATAATATTAGGTTTTTGACGTTTGACCTGAGCTTGACAAACTCTGATAAAATGTGAACCAGGAAGTTGCTCATGTAAATAAAAAACTGAAATTTTTCCGGTTGTTTTTATAATGTTATCTGAACTGTGTCACACAAAAATTAGCAGAAGGTCTTAGCAACTAGATCCAAAGACGACTAAGTAAAATAAAGAGAGAGAGAGAGAGAGAGAGAGAGAAAAAAAAAAACACAAAAAAAACCAAAACCAAAAACCCCCAGGCCAACTAGCAAGTCGCCCCGCATGGAATGATTGAACAATCGAAAGAGTCTGGTGCGAGACTTTGAAGCCAATCTCAAAACAAGATGGCCGCTTGGCCTTTCGCAAATGAAGAGAAATTGGGATGGTAATTTGTGCATGAAGGCAGAGACTTTTTCCCAGATTCAGGCAAAATGGGAAAAGAGCAAGACCTTATGCAAGCTGCAAAGAGTGGAAATGTCGCACACATCGAGAAAATTCTTGGCCATAAGGCAAGAAAGTCTGGAATCCAAAGGTATGTTTGTGCTTCATACAGGCCGGAAATTGGTTGATGAGCTGCTCTCTTGCACGCAAACGCAATAATTTGGTTGATATCTTTGCAGCTTAATGAGCAAAACGATAAATCCTAATCATCAAGACGAGCTCGGGAACACTCCACTTCACTATGCAGCCCTCAATGGCCACAGGTAAAAGCTGCATATTAATATTTACGAAAATTCTGATCATTTTAATGACCTTACATACGTATACTTATTACTACTGCATAAAGTGTAGTCTTAACATGCGCCAAGGTGTGGAAATCTAGCCCCAGGAGGTAGGAAGCTAAAGTAATGTTGAATATTTACCCTACTTGACAGTTTGGCCTTTTATATTGTATTTTTAGGCTTCATTTACGTTATGGGAGGGTCCCACCAAAGTAAAGGGACTTGGTTGGCACAAATCTAAGTTTCATAAGAAGTAAGAGAAACAGTCTGTTGTTGCTAAGTGCCTGTTTTGACAATTAACTGACTTAGAAAATATGTGAAAGAGTCCTGGGAGGTTATCGAATTATAAAAAAAATGAAAAAATTTTGACATGACATGGACCAGTTAGTGAAAACACAGGTAGCCCAGGCTCAGTGTTTCTGTCATGTACGGGTTTCAGTAATATAGAGAAGTTTAGGTCTGGAAATTTGCCACAAAATGGAAATAAAAATCAATGAAACGTACCATGTGGCGATTTGTTGTTGTTCTTAATATGCACATGAAGTTTTGGGAAAAATAGTCTCCTTTGTGTACATATTAAGTACAACAAGAACTCACCACATGGTAAGTTTCATCCATTTTTATTTCCATTTTCTAGCAAATTTCCAGACCTAAACTTCGCCCCATAATATGTTCTCTTTATTTACTCATATTATGAAACTGGTACGTGACACAAACAGTGAGCCTGGGTTACCTGTGGTGAAAATCCACTCTCACTGCTGGTAAGAAAATACATTGAAATCGGTAATGCTGCCACGTTTGAGAGGTCTTGAAAATGGAAGGTTGTGATTGGTGACAGATCGAGATATGGCATTCCAAAGTTGCAGAATTTTAAAGATGTTTGTATCATGGAGGGCAAGTTTGCAACAGAAATGGTGGCTGGAAGGCCATGCTACTTTCATGTCTAAAGTGGCTATAGTTGTCCACTGGGATTTAGTACAGTCCGACCTCTATTAAGGGGCCACCCATTAGGTGGCCACGCTCCATTAACTGGCTACTTTCCAAAGTCCCGATTTATTTGTCAGTAAACTGCTGTATTTGATACCTCTATTCAACAGCCACCTCTATTAAGTGGCCGCGGCCACCTTTTTGCTGTGGCAAGTGTATTATTTATATGGTTTTTCACCTCCATTAAGCGGCCAGCAAATTATCTTTCAAAGCAAAGTGGTGACAGATGATATAACGTGATAACTGATAACAACAAGAAAACAAGAACTGCAATTTAATCTCCACTATAACAAATCACAAGCTGCGAACACGTGCAAACTTTTCACATCTGGCGCTATACAAACATAACAAGAGCTCATGATAGATAGAGCTGACCCACTGTTTTGTTACAACTGAAATCTGTACAGGAAAACCTTATTACTAGTGTACTGTAATTTTGGATTTATCTTCATATATGTTCACTTTTTAAAAGCATTTTGCTATATAGAGTCAATGAAATCGTGTTTACTGCCATTCCTATCCAATTTATATTGTACCTCTATTAAGGTACCTGCCCAGGCTAATTTTGGTCATTTTAAATGCAAAACACTGTTCATAGTATGTCCCTGGATACGTTAAAAGCTTCAAAATATTAATGACAAACTTAAATGGTACACCAAAAAAACCTCCAAAAAGTCCAGCAAATCTTTTCGGTGAAACCGCTGGATAATATTGCGGGCACAGCATGAACACCTAGTAACCAGCCCAGATCCTTCCTCGGTCAAAGGGGCTGACTTCCGGTTTAAATGCAAAACTTTGCAACCTTCTGGAGCATTTACTCTTCTCTGTATTCAGAAAAAACCTTTTTTTTGAATATTAGATGACATAAACTACAATTGGGCTTAAAATTAATAAGATCTGAAAACATGAGAATTTGCCTGGGCGGGTACCTTAAGCGGCCACTTTTCAAAGTCCCGAGGGTGGCCGCTTAATAGAGGTCATACTCTATATTACTCCGTATGTTTATCCAAACATTTATTTCCGGTCCTTTGACTGTTGACTGAAAGGGCTCGTCAACTACACATATCTTTGCAAACATCTTATTGGTCAACTGGAGATCACCATCAAGTTAAAAACTGTATAGAAGGTTAATAAATTAATTTTCTTGAGGTAGTCTCTGATGCTGGACTTTTAAACCTAGATATTGGGATTCAGGCTTCTCTGTCACCTGAAATTAACAATGTGAAATATGAATACAACTGTGTATTTTGGGTTTAAACTGCATTTTAAAAATGCAAGCATCATATTTTCAAAAATTGCTTCTTTTGCCTTGTGTCTCAGCTCAGTTTTTTTCCATTAACACATTTGAGTCTAGCCAGTCATTAGAAGTTAGCCAGGTTAAAATCTTCACAGCAGGTTAGGTTTTGAAGAGTCGTTGACCAGGATACATACTCAAAAAAATAACTCCGATAACTTGCTAAGTGCAGCTGCAGCCATAGTTTTATTGTGTTCATGTTAATTCTCATTTTTTTTAGTTAATTTGGAAGTGCAATTTGTGGTTAATGAACTTGAAAGGCTATACCATGTGTATACTTTCAAGAACTTGGAGTTGGTTGCTATTTGAAATCAGACTAGTTTGGAGAGTGATAATATGACGTACTACTGCTCTGTACTGCCTTATTATACTCATGGATTACTTTTGCTTTTTAGGTCCTCTGCAGAGCTTCTTTTGAAGTATGATGCATCAACTAATATTCCAGATAATAATGGTATGTGTTATACTTGAAGCGTTCTCCTTTAAAGACAATAAGAATGATCTGTGATTTTTAAGGAAAGAGCACCTGCCACTGTCTACTTAACTTATTCAACATTCTAAACGGATACAAGAAAACCACTATATAAATTTGATGCCCATCAAGTGTTGCATTTCACATGTTGCTCTCTTTCAAAACAGGAGGGTGCTTTATCAGGCAGAAGAGGTCGTAACGCGGCCTAGGAAAAATTCCTGTGAATGTTTAGACACCAGAACATAAAGAAAAATGATGACAGAATTTAAAGGGAAGCTGTATAGTCCTTCATGTACTGTAAATTCTCTATTAAGTTCCCCAGGGT